GGGCTCATATCTCTTCTTGCTGCCTCCGGATCCAGACACAGAACTCTCAAGCTCCCTCTCCCTCTCTACCACCACGGCTGCCTGTGTGCCGCCATGTTTCCTGCCACAATGGTAATGGACTGAACCTCTGAACTGTAAGCCAGCCCTGAGTAAATGTTTTCCTTTATAAGAGTTGCCATGCTCATGGTGTCTCTTCACAGCAACAGAACACTGACTGAGACAGAAAGCCAGAAGACAGCATTTCATCCTCTGGTGCAGGAGTGGCTGGTCATTGTGAGCTGCCTGTGTGGATGCTGAGAACCGAACCTGGGTCCTCTGGAAGAGCAGCAAGCACTCCTGCTGGAATATATCTCTGACCCCTGACTTTTTTGTTTGCTTAAAACAAAACAAAACAAATCCAGAATTGTCTACTTACTTTGCATGCCTCAATAAAAAAGCCACAGCAATTAATGTTCCCAGGAGTCTCTGTGGTCCAGACAAGCCTGGACCTCATTACTATAGTTCAATTCCCCTGCCTCAGCCTCCCGAGCACTGGGGTTTACAGGCACGAGCCACCTTAGCTGGCTAATATTTTTTAACCAGGCTCCAGAATCCTCATCAATCATCACCTCACTATTGATCAACCAGCCCAGGCCCTGGCTGTCCTGGAACTTGCTATGTAGACTGGGCTGGCCTCCAACTCATAGAGATCCACCAGCCTGTTTCCTGAGTGATGAAGTTAAAGGCATTCATCACCATGTCCAGCTGAGGCAGTTTTTAAATACAATGGTGGAAACATGAGATGGGGTGGGTTAAAGCAAAACCAAACACTCCATTACAGACTTCAGATGCTTCTGAACTTTCAGTTGATGGGAGACAGGTTTCTGTATTTACCAAAGGATTTACTTGATGGTCATGGTCACAAAGATATTGGCTCACATACAGAGAAGGACAAAAAAAAAATGGCTAAGAGGCAAAAGGTGGCCCAAGATAATTGGGCTTTGGACCTTCAGCCCTCCCACTGTCTGTAGTCATAACGGTTCTCATCAGCCCATCAGCCTTGTTCAGTGAAGCTGTCCTTTCCAGAAACTTTTGTCCCCAGCAGCTGAGAGCAGCTCCATGTGCCCGGATTGACAGTGAAAACCATGTAGTTTATGCTAAATATATACCTGCCTTCCTTCTGGGAGTCTGGCAGGTGGCCAGGAGCTAGGCTGCTGCAGCCCTAGGATCAGACCCCAGCAAAACCCTTCTCTGCAGGGTCTGACTTAGTGGGCATGCCTGGTAGGCACACACCACACATGTATGTAGCCCAGAAGTGGTGATCCACACACGTGGCTGCAGACTCCGGGTTCTGTCCTTGCAATCTGGCAGTGGACATTTGACACTAGAATAAGCCTTAGCCGTGATGATGACCACATGCCCAGTCCTGTGAATCTTTCTGGCAGATGTCTCATTTCAGGGACAGTCCTTGGGTCCCCTTGGACACAAGCTCCATTCTCAGCCGTCATCGTCCTCTGAGCGGCTGCAAGACCGGAAAGCTGGGCCTGTTGAGATTCCATCACAGGAGGGGGTGAGGAGGTCACTGTGCCCTCAGCAGACTCCACCCACCTCCCCACACCTTGCAGACACTGTCCTAACTGTACAAGCCCTCAGGGTCTTGGGAGATACTAGAGCGTGCACTGGCTGGAAGGGCTGCTGAAGTGAGACCCCATTTGTCCTTACTGGGGACTCTTTGGTAGCACAGTCCCCTTTGGGCCATCCACATTCCTGTCAGCCAGCCCTCGCCAGTGCTCCGTAACTAAACCCAATAAATTCACTGCCTTTCCTAACTGGATTCTGGTGATCTTTTAATCTGCTCTGTTGCTGGTGTCCCATGTGGACTGAGTAGGCATGGAGAGATCAAAGGACAAGTTTAGGAGTGGGCAGTGGTGGCACACGCTTTTAATCCCAGCACTTGTGAGATCGAGGCAGGGGGATCTCTGTGAGTTCAAGGCCAGCCTGGTCTACAGAGCTAGTTCAGGACAGCCAGGGCTACACAGAGAAACCCTGTCTCTTAAAACTGTTAAACTTTAGGAGTCCATTCTCTCCTTCCACCATGTGAGTTCCTGTGCCTTTACATGCTTGAGTCATGTTGCCAACCTCCCGTGTTTCTATTTCACACACACACACACACACACACACACACTGTGTGCCTGGTGCCTTCAGAAGCCAGAAGAGGCTGTCAGATCTGGAATTGGAGCTATAGATGAAAGAAGCCATGTGAGCGCAGGAAATAGAACCTGGGTCCTGTGGAAGAATTGTCAGTGCTCTTAACTCCCCTTAGGAGAGGTGTCATGTGTTTTTATGGCCTGCTGGCCTCTGTGCTATCGGTCAGAGACCACACTAGATTCTAGGCCTCTTTTAGCTACAGAACCCACCCTTGTGATCACATGTACCTTGTAAACGAGTTTCTATGTGGTCATGTGGTCGTCTCTTAAGTTTTATTGTGCACCTGGAATTGGACCGATTGTTGCCTGGGAACCTGTCCCCAAATAGTACTGTGTTTTAAATACGCTGACAATGAACCGCCTGACAGACTCCCCAGAGTCGAGCCAGGCTGAACTCAATCTGCACTGGGTTTTCAACCTTATCTCGTTGCTTCCCTATATGACACCTGCAGGGCCCCCTCACAAGACATTATTTTTAACGATACTCATAAGCCTAAGCCTATCATCTTTTGTATCCACCGTGTTGTGTAATCCCCACCATCTATCTCCATGCCCTTTACTTTGCAATGCTGAAGCTATACTATTAACAGTCTCCGCGGCTCCACCTCCTGGAGCCCACCATTCTATCGTCTCTCTAAGCTCTGACTGCTAGGCACCTCATGTAAGCAGAGCTATACAGTAATTAACTTTCTGCCAGCTGGCTTATTTCACTCAATACAGTACCGTCTAGGTTTATCCATGTTGTAGGATGTATCACACCTGATTCTCTTTTAAAGGATGAATACTATTCCACTCTACGGCATAAATCACATTTTGTGTTTGTTTTGTTTTTTTTTTTTTTTTTTTTTTTTTTTTTTGGACAGGGTCTCACCATATTGTTTCAGATGGCCTGGAATTCCCTGTGCTGGCTTTGAACTGCCACAGCTGTCAGGAAGCAGACCACAAGTTAGGTTCCCAACCTTCATGTCCTTTCCCTGTTGACAGCTGACATCACCTAGAATCCTACAAGCAGTGGTAAGATATGGCTTCCTTCTATGAAGACACCCAGTGTTAGGGGCAGGCTGCTCGGCCACCTTCTACCCACACAGCCGCATGGTCTGTCCTCAGCAACAGCCTGGGGAGACGCAAGCTCGGGAAGGCAGAACTGGTTTCTCTTCATACGAAAGCTTTGGGGTGACAGTCGCCCATCAACCCTGGTGTTCACGGCCTGTATGACCCTGTCCTCTCCTGCAAGCTGGAAACAGTGACCAGTATCTCAGCAGAAGGCAGAAGTGACAGGATGACATTTTCATGAGAAAGGACCAGGGCTTCTGTCTTGCCTTCGCTGTCTGTGGCTTTGCTTGCTTGCTTTGGTGAACACAGCTGCCCTGTTGAGTCGTCCCAGGACAGCCCCTTGTGACAAGAGACAGAGCATGGTTTTCAGCCAGTTCCTGCCCACAAGCGGTGCTGGCTGAGAAAAGGCAAGGGGTTCTGTAATTATGGGGCTGTAGGGACGGCTCGGGGTGCGGTGGTTTGAATGAGAATACTCCCCCCATAGGCTCGCATATCTGAATGCTTGGCTTCCCCAGTTGGTGGAACTGTTTGGGAAGGATTAGCAGGAGTAGCCTTGTTGGAGATGTGTTACTGGGAATAGCTTTGTGGTTTCAAAAGCCCAAGCCAGGGGCTGGAGAGGTAGCCCAGGGGTTAAGAGCACCAGCTGCTCTTCTAGAAGTTCTGAGTTCAATTCCTGGTACAACTGATGCCCTCTTCTGGTGTGTGTATATATAAACAAAACATCTACATGCATAAAATACATAAATACATCTCTAAAGCCCGACCCATTCCCAGTCAGCTCTCTTTGCCTCCTGCTTGTGAATCAAATGTAAGTGCTCAGTCACTGCTCTATGCCTGCCCCCCCCCCCCCCATGATGGCTAGGGACTCACCATCTGGAACTTTATGCCCCAATAAACCCTTGAATACATTGTCTTGGTCTGGGTGTTTCTTCACAGCAACGAAAAAAGCAACTAAGACACCGCACCCTCGTTAAGTTCTCAACTGCCTGTAACTGCAGTCCCCGGGGATCGATTGCCCCTGTGACTTCCATGAGCTCTGTAAGCACACGGTGCACACACAGACAAGCGGGCGAGCACACGGTGCACACACAGACAAGCAGGCAAGCACACGGTGCACACAGACAAGCAGGCGAGCACACGGTGCACACAGACAAGCAGGCGAGCACACGGTGCACACACAGACAAGCAGGCGAGCACACGGTGCACACAGACAAGCAGGGGCGAGCACACGGTGTACACACAGACAAGCAAGCGAGCACACGGTGCACACACAGACAAGCAGGCGAGCACACGGTGCACACACAGACAAGCGGGCGAGCACACGGTGCACACACAGACAAGCGGGCGAGCACACGGTGCACACACAGACAAGCGGGCGAGCACACGGTGCACACAGACAAGCGGGCGAGCACACGGTGCACACACAGACAAGCGGGCGAGCACACGGTGCACACAGACAAGCAGGCGAGCACACGGTGTACACACAGACAAGCAGACAAACACATACACACATAAATAATAACAAGAATTAAAAAGGCAAAATGTTGTCATTAGATACAGTGATGGTTATTCAACCTAATGCATACCACACACACTAAGTTGGTGAGTTTGAGCCAGATGTTGAGGCTGGAAGGGCAAGAGTTGGAGGCCGACCTGGAGTACACAGACTACATCTGGAAGCTTATTTAATATCTCAGTTGTAAAAGTGTCAGCTCTTATGAAAGGCAGTCAACAGTACTCAAACATTCTCTCAGACGCACTAGGAGGACAGGTTATTATTTATTGTAATTGCCAGGAAGACCATAGCAAAAGTCCCCCAGTAAATATTCTTCACTTCTCTTTACTGCTTTTGTGATTGACAAATGGCAGTCTTTACTTCATTTCAGAACATGTAACTGGCCACTCCTTACTAGGAATGGCAGGGTAAGAGGACCTGTTCAACACAGCATTTCAAGAGAAGCTAAAGTCTCACGCCGAGTGTGTGCGGTGACATATTCTCACCACCCCAGCAATCTAGAGACGAAGGCAGGAGTATTGTCGGTGTACAAAGTCCAGGCCAGCAAGGGCTGAATATCAAGATCCTATGTCAAGCTGGGCAGTGGTGGCGCACACCTTTAATCCCAGCACTCAGGAGGCAGAGGCAGGCGGATCTCTGTGCGTTTGAGGCCAGCCAGATCTACAAGAGTTAGTTCCAGGACAGGCTCCAAAGCTACAGAGAAACCCTGTCTCGAAAAAACAAAACAAAACAAAAAAACAACAAAAAAAAAAGACCCTATGTCAAAAAGACGGTGCATTTTAAACCATGTGCTGGGCACACTCTATAATCCCAACACTGGAGGCAGGGGAGGGCTGCAAGTCCAAGGCCAGCCTGGGCTACACAGTGAGACTCTATCTCAAGACAGCTGTGTCTCACATCTTCACTCTCTATATGGAAGTCAGTCCCAGATCCACACGTGGAGTGGCACCTGCTTCCTGTTCCTAGGCAGTGAACACACTCCACAGTCACAAGAATCCTGAGAGACACATGGCGACCAAGGCAGGATCTTCCCAGGAGAATGAGGATGAGGGAGACGAGACTGTAAGGATCCAAGGACGGTGGGTGGACAAACACCTCGGGAGGGCTGTAACTGACAGGATTCCTTCAGCCCTCCAGCTTTAAACCGCTAGGATCCGCCCAACTGACAGCGTTGATTCTTTCCCTTTCCATACTCAGCATCATCCAACAGTTTCGACACCGACAGGCAGCCACTTGAACCAGCTCTGCGGTGTGACCAGCTGTGCTTCCTGGAGACATGGGCCTCATCAAATACTTCGGTAGTCAGAGCCTCGGGCCACAATGGCAGCAGCGTCCCACTCCACGGTGAAGAATGAGATGGTTCCAAAAAACCCAAATATCACCATGACCAGGAGCTGCCAGTAGAGGAGGAGGTAGTTGCTGTAGAAGAACGCCACAGCTGCGCAGATCGACTAGAACGAGAAAGATAAATCAGCACATGGGCCCAGGGCCTCAGCAGCTCCAGTCAGCCTGCTGCTTCTGCCCCAAAGGACACCTGCGATGGGCAGGTGCCCGTGGAGACGGACTTCACCGGTTACAGTTCACAACTGTACCCCAAGTAAGCTGTGGAAGCTACAGTAACATGATAAAGTACACAGGAGAGGTAGAGTCTGTGATGAGAGAATGGAACCCGGTACCCAAGGAGGGGAGGTCTTTTACCTGCGTGCAGAGACCAGAATCAAAATCTCTTCCCCAGCTGGGCATAGTGGCGCATGCCTTTAACACCAGCATTCGAGAGGCAGAGGCAGGTGGGTCTCTGTGAGTTCGAGGCCAGCCTGGTCTACAGGACAGCCAGGGCAGCCAGGACTGTTACAGAGAAACCCTGTCTCAAAAAACAAAACAATACAACTCTCACCCAGCCAAGGCCCCTGCACCTTACAATCCTCTTTGTAATGGCCAACGTTCACTTAAACCCAGGGGAGGAGTGACGGACGAGTGCAGGGACAGATGCAGGGTGATCCAGAGTTACCTGGACAAACTTAAAGACGGCAAAGGCTGGCGCACTGTCTTCTGAGTAGAGAAAACCCAAAATGCTAAGCAGTTGGGTGTTGAAGCAGCTGTCTCCCAGGCCCAGCAGAAAACTGCAGAGAATGGCAACTTCTTTGCTGAGGAGAAGACAGACCCATAGGTTAGGGTGTGCGGCTTCGACAAAGGACTGGAGTCTGCCTCCCAGAACCCACTTCCAATGGCTTACCACCACTGGCCACTCCAGCACCAGGATCTGAGGCCCTCTTTTGAATTCCACAGGCATCTGAACTTAAACATGCACCACCCCCCACACATACATAGAATTTAAATAAAAAAATATGCCAGGCACATGCTTTTAATCCCAGAACTCAGAAGGCAGAGTCAGGCGGACCTCTGGGCGTCCAAGGCTATCCTGGTCTACATAGTGAGTTCCAGAACAGTCAGAATTATACAAGGGTCTTTACCCTGTCTCAAAAAAACCAAATAAGATAAAAAAGATAAAATAAATTTAATGTGTAGCACCAATATTTAGTTCACCAGAATACAGAAACACTGCTCCCAACAAAAGCAGTTTGTACTTGTCTCCTCCTCAGAGCTAAGGTCCCGAGTGTGCACATGTAACTCAAAAAAGAACAAATAAATACTAACTTGTCTAAGACCTTTTCTATAGTATTGGGAATTAAACCTGGGGTCTTCCAAACTCCAGGCCAGCATTTCATACTCAACAGTGTTACGAATCCAGCCCACCTACTGGAAATCGCTCAGTAGGAAATTATGCTTAAATGCACAGACCTTTGCAGTCCAGCAAACTCTGGTCTACTCTCCACAAAACAAATACTGTCTTTGGGCTAGGCTCCCTTGGATTGTGCTTTTCTCCACAGACACTGCATCCATAATGAATCACAAGTCAAAGCAAAAGCAGGCCACTCAGGTGGGCGTCAGAGTCTGAGATCCTCTTTGCCCCTCCTCTAACACTGACCCAGCTCACTGCTCAAACAGCAGAGAACAGCATTCTCATCAGACTCTTCTGCACAGATCAAGGGAGGCTCCAGTAAGTTAAAAGCAACCACTGCAAAACTCCCTTGGGACGCTCTGGGTCCCTGCTCAACTCCTCCTGGCTCCATCCCCACTTGACCCATGACCTTAGAAAGTCGACAGACTCTGAGGAGGGCTAGCGCTCCACTTCCAAACAGCCATTCACTCCTCCTGCCTACCCTGAGCCATTCAGAAAATGGCAGCCACTCTACCTGGGTGTGATGTAGGCGCCGCTGTCAGTTCCTTCCACGGGGGCAATGGGCGCATCTCCAGGCATGTTGAGAAAGATCAAGTAGAAGGCTACAAAGTGCACCAGGGCGCCCAGCAGCACGACTGGATTTCTGCCAAAGCGATTATTCTTGCTCAGCAGGCCAAAGAGGCTTCCACCTGGAGATTAAGACACAAGAATGCTTCAAAGGTCTCCATCCATCACAGAACCAGTCACGGGTTAGACTGAGGGGCCAGGGAATGAACTCTCAGCTGTCCAATACCTGCCCCAAACAGTCTCCAAAGTCAAACGGCGGAGTTACAATATCTAGAACAACTTCCTCTGCATTCTAGCTAATCAGAGAATCAAAGGGCACAACTCATCAACTACACAGTTTTTTGTTTTTTTTTTTTTTTTTTTTGTATTTTCGAGACAGGGTTTCTCCGTAGCTTTTTGGTTCCTGTCTTGAAACTAGCTCTTCTAGACCAGGCTGGCCTCGAACTCACAGAGATCCGCCTGCCTCTGCCTCCTGAGTGCTGGGATTAAAGGCGTGCACCACCACCGCCCGGTTTGAGACCACGTCTCAGGTAGCCTAGACCTAGGGCTGCTGCTTCTGCCTCCACCTCCCCACAAAGCTCGTCCAGGAGCCATGACTGGCAGCAGTCACCAAGAAGCTGCAGAGTGCCAGAAGCGCATGGAGGGGCAAGGAAGGCTTTCAGGAGGGTGAGTGCCAAGGCTGCTGTCATGACTGAGGAGACTAAGTGGGAAGGAGGAAATATGCAAGGCCTGCCTCAACTACAGTGAGTTCAAAGACAGCCTGGGCAACTTTGTCAGATTCTCAGAGTTTTAAAAATGAGTGGGGTAAGCAGTGAGCTCAGTGGTGGAGTGCTTGGTCTCATATGTGCAAGACTCCAGGTTTAATTCTGACCATAAAAAGAAATTTAAAAACTTGGCAGTTTTTAAATGTAACCTGGGCAGTGGTGGCACATGCCTTTAATCGAGGCTAGCCTATGCTACATAGTGAGTTCCAGGTCAGCCAACAGCTACATAAGCAGCAAGGTCAACTCAGAAAAAAAAAAAACTAACATTCTGTAGCATAGTGGAGGTAACTATGGTTAATGACAATTATCTGTAGGTTGCAAAACAGGCAGTAGAAAGGATCTGGAAGGTTTCATAATACAAGCAATGATAAATACTCGAGGCGATGGAAGTGCACATTACCCTGATCTGGGATCTGGTCGTCACACAATGAGATGCCACACTGTACCCCTGGTGCCCGCATGGCTAACAGTCCCTCTGGAAAGCAGCTTGGGGTCCCTAGCGCCTGCTAACCTGCTTTCTTCTTTTTTTGTTTTTTTTTTTTGAGACAGGGTTTCTCTATGGCTTTAGAGCCTGTCCTGGAACTAGCTCTGTAGACCAGGCTGGCCTCGAACTCACAGAAATCCACCTGCCCCTCCCGAGTGCTGGGATTAAAGACGTGTGCCACCACGGCCCGGCGCTGCATTCTTCTTAATGAACAGAGCACGCAGCATCTCCCACATCTGTGAGCTCTCTCTAATCCTACATTTGAAGCCAAATGAGGTAGGGTGGCTCGGGGACCACCGGGCTGGGCTAGTCTGAAGTGGGGGTAACCTGCAGGGCTGTCGCAGGCACTTAGGAAGGGCTTCTGCTGACAGCGTTGACTCACAGGTGCCCACAGGAACTGAAGGCAGGGGAAAGCCTAGCCCCGCCTTTACTTTCTGGCAGTCTCTAGGTCCTCTCTGACTTAGCTCTGCACACATGTTAACCACGAAGAGAGTCTGTGAGAATGGACGGTATCCAGCCTGTTTCACCCTACTTTGAGATTGAAAGCACAAAGCTATGAGTCCTGAGGTACCTCACTGTCAGTGTCCTATTCCAGACCCCACAAAGGTGCCAGCAGGGTCTCCAGCCACCCATCTCCCCACCAGCTCCCTATGGTGACATCACCCTGAGCAGGAGTGATGGATGAGCTTTCAGGGAGAGCCAGATTGTCCCCTCCAGCAACGAGGAGTTCTTTGAAGTACCTCGCAGAACCAGAACTGGAACAGCTGACCGCGCTGTAACCTCCACCTGCCTCTGCCTTTCAAGTGCTGGAATTTATTAAGGTGTGTGCCACCACTACCCAGAAAACAAAAGGTTTTTAAAGTAAAAAGCAAAATGCAAACCAACCTACCTAAAATTTCTCCAATGCCGATGAAAATTCCAGAGAGTCCAATGAGGCTTTTCTCTTCTGTCCCAAATTTGTTTACAGCCCCAATACAGGTCCCGTACACCCCCGAGAAGAACGTCAGCTCCAGACCTCAGGGGAGAGAAAACCAGCTTTAACCAGTTCCACAGCTGCTGTCTCCTTTCCCGACTTTTGCCTGCACCCAGTAGCTGAGCTTGACACAGAAACCAAAACTCAGAGACTAAAATGCATCCCAGGTGGGCAGCTTTATGCTGTGTAAATGACAGACAGTGCTCTCCGAAAGCCTACCCGAAACTCAGCTCCCCACACAGTGGCTTTGTAGGCACAGCCTTAGGTGATGGGCCCGCAGGGTGGGTGCTTGCTTCCTGCTCTCTGCCAGCCCCGTGACCACACAGCGGGAGGACAGCTAGAAGAACCCTCCCCGGAACCTGACAGTGCTGACACCTGCGCTGGTTTCCTAGGTGCCAAACTGTGTAAATCAGTGTGGTTTGTAGCTGAGCTGCTGGGGGTTTTGAGACAAGGTCTCACTATGTAGCTAAGGTTGGCCTGGAACTTGCATCTTTCTGCCAGTAGGTGCCATGACATCAGGCTCAGACTGGTTTTGATTTTTTTTTTTTCAAGATTTATTTTTATGTGTATGGTGTTTTGCCTGTAGGAATGTCTATGCACCGTTGTGTGCGGTGTCCAGAGAGGCCAGAAGAGGGTGCTGGATCCACTAGACCTGGACTTACATGTGGGTGCTGAGAACCAAACCTGACCCCTAGAAGAGCAACAAATGCTCGATACAGCCAACCCACCTTTCCAGCCTGTTTTGGGGCTGCCCTCCACTCCCACCCCAACGGTAGAGATCAACCCACGGCCCTGAACTTGCTAGGCAAATGCTCGGCCACTTAATTATGCAATTACATCCCCAGTCAAACCTCAACTTCTTTTTTCTTTTTCTCTTTCCTTTCTGATCCTTTCACACTGAATTGGGGCTGGCCCTGCGATTGGCTGTCACCAATAGAGCGAAGAAGAAGTGATACAAGGCCTTTAGTCACTATGCCGTCTGGCTCTCCTGTCAATCACAAGGAGGGAGGAGCTCACTCGGAGAGCTATGCCGAGTCCTGATGCTACAGGAAGGGAAAGACTGACTGACAGAATATGATTCAGTCTTCCATCAGTCACCAGGAAGGTACTGGATATGTAAACAAAACTGTCTCAGAGGCTCTGGCCACCACTGCCCTCTGCGAGCCGCCTCAGGAGGTGTCGCAGGCTAGCACTGGGTAGTCAGAGCAGAGCAATACCGCGCTATTGTTTTAGTCAGAAGACAGCGACAGAGCAGAAAGAGCGGCTGTACCTGTGTAGGCAGTCGTAATGCTCAGAAGGAGCATCTCCTTGGTGACACACAACTTCAGAGACTTCTCTGGAAGGAGAAAAATTGGACAGACTTAGATTTTAATTGGGAGCCAAAAGTTTTAAAAACCATTTCCTTCAGCCAGAACATTCTTCTCATCCCTGAAGCCAGTAAACAAAGAATCTAAATTTTCAGATTAAAATGCATGAGGCATGAACTAAGTCTGCCCTGTAAATAGAATGCTTATTTCAAGGGATTAAATATGTTCTGGAGACACACTGTCCTCGATGCGTTTTTAGCTCTTAATAACCGGAGGGGAGGGGAAAGAAACCAGAACAACATGAGACAATAAAACACTTGAGCAGACACTACAGACAGGCTACACAGGGAGTCAGTGAGCAGAGTACCTGGGTCAGAACCACCTGGAGTATCCTGACCCATAGAGACAGACTACAGACCAGGGCTTCCCTGCTCTGGGGTTTGCAGACAGCTTGATGTCTGCCTCTGCATGGAGCAGTGTGGATGAGATCTACGGGGGAGAATACATTTCTAAAAATGCCTACCACCCCAAACAGGGGCTCATGCTGGCTCAGGCTATAGTGGAACTTCCTATGCAGCCTAAGGGGGTCCGCAACAAGTCAGTCCTCCTGTCTCTGTCCTGAGCGTCAGGCTTACAGACCTAGGTTGCCATGCCTGCCAAGTTTCATCTGAATTTCCCACTTATTTATTTATTTTAGGCAGAATCTCAGGCTAGCCTTGAACGCCTCGATAGCTGAGGATGACAGTTGACCCCCTTGTCCCTCAAGTATTGGAATTACAGAGCCCAAATGGAAGGATCCATAGGTTTCAAGCAAGCCTGAGCTACACAGTGAAAATCACTGTTAAAAAAAAACAAAACAAAACAAAAAAAACCAGTTGCTAAATTGCTGCTTCTGGGAGTTTCACTTTAGTCCTCTGACCCTGACCACAGTGGATTTTCTGGCAGACAAGTTCCAAGACTCCACACTGAAAAGCCTGAGTCCCAATGGCGGCAACCTCACATTTTAGTCAGGGAACCTCGCTATAACCTATTTACTTAGCGCCAAACCCCAATTTGTAATTATGAATGCATCTCTGAAACGCAGGTTAAACAGCTCTAATGACAGAGCACCCGTGTCCGTGGTCCTTCCTAAAAACAGGCCTTGTGCCATCTGAGCCACGCCACAGCTGATGAGATCAAGAATTTCCACTCTGACAAAAGGGACCTAACAACTCATAAACCCCCACGGGCCACGGGCACTGGGAAGTCCTGAGAGCTGATGGTCTACAGCAGACTGCTCCCACGGGGAGAAACTGCCTTAGCAAGGGTCTCTCCTGGGAAGCAGAGAAGCTGAGAGGTTGTGGGGTAATGGGGTAATGCTCTTGTACACTTTGTAAAGATCTGTCACTCATATAGGTTTAATAGAACGCTGACTGGCCACAGGCAGAAGTATAGGCGGGGCAACCAGACTAGAATTCTGGAAAGAGGAAAGGCAGAGAATCAGTCACCAGCAAGACGCAGAGAAAGCAAGATGAGAATGCCTCAGTGAGAATAGGTACCAAGCCACACGGCTAAACTTAGACAAGAATTATGGGTTAATTTAAGTTGTAAGAGCTCGTTAATAATACGCCTGAGCTAATAGGCCAAACAGTTTATAATTAATGTAAGCCTCTGTGTGTTTCTTTGGGACTGAAGGGCTGCGGGACCGGGTGGGACAGAAACTTCCGTCTATACTGGGCAGAAGCTGGAGTGTCAGAAGTCTGCCCGAGTCTTGAGGAAATACTCGACTCCATGTGAATCACTGACTTTGCCTGTTGAGTCTGCCCAGGCTCAAATCCACTCCAGCCACCCACTGGCCATCTGGTTGACTTTCGGTGGAACTTCCTGACAGCCTGCTGTCCAGTCAGTAAGATAGCACTTGTTTGTAAAAGTTCCAGCCTGGACACTGATAATCACATGGTCCCAGTTGCTAACCACTAAGCTGCCCACTCCGAATCTCAGGAGCAAGGAGTACTCCCATCCCCATCTTACGACCATTAGATAAAACTTCCTCTGTGACCCAAGAGCTGTTGGGTTACTTGTGAACAGCTCTGAGTGGACTTGTCCAGGTCCGGGAAACCCCAGCTTTCTTCTTTGGAACAGAAGTGTCAACCATTGCCTACTACGGAACCTCAGAACACTGGTGAGCGTGGCAGCAAGGTACCAAACAAAAAGTTTACCAGAGTCTGCGGCCTGAGGAAAAGGCTCAGTGAGCAAGTGTGGCTGCTCTTACCAGCCCCCAGTCCCTGGAGTCATGGCTCTGCTCCAAGGAGCAGCCTGTGGTTTGCTCTCAACTCCAATGTCAACAGAGTCCCTACACCTGAGGCCTCTCCCCGGCACCCCCGCCCCACCTCCTTAGGTGGGCAGCAGCATCATTCACCCCTCACAGCCCCATGTTACAGAGACACTGGTGGAAAGATGATATATTCTAGAAGTGTATACCTGGAAGACGGAAGACACTGGGGACGTCAACCCAGAGTTACCCTGGAAAGGGAGAGCAAATGCTGGAGGTGTTGCCAACAGCTCCGCATTTCAAACAGGGAATACTTACTAAACGCATCTACTGCCTTTGTCACGTTGTTCTGGGCAGACCTGAGAAGATAAAATAAGACTGTTTCCCCCTGGAAACCACAAAGAGAACAAAGCAGCACGCGCTAAGCGGCCACCCCGCTCCCGTCTAGACTTGTAAATCTATGGCCTCAGCTGGGTTTGATGGCACACTCCCTTAATTTCACTGCTTCAGAGTCACAGGCACTGGAATTTTGGGGAGTCCAGGCCAGTAATAGTTACACAGTAAGACCCTGTATCAAACCAAACCACACCTCTGCTCTATGTGGTGGCCAGTGACTGTCAGTGTTCTCTGCTATGAGGGTCCCATCTTGGCCCTGGTCTTCAGGCTGCTCATCACGATTCCCGGAACCTCCTCATTCTGAACAACGGAACAGGACTGTCTCCTAACGAACTTACACATACACTCATCTGTCTCCTTTTGGAAAATGACACTGGGGTGAGACAGAAATACTTTGCTGCTTTTGTATACACAAGTATTGTTCACCCTTGAAAGGTCTCGCTCACAACTAGGGTCAGATCCAGGCTTTGTGCACACACGCCAACCTCTACCCCAGCCCAGACACATATTCTTAATCTTGTCGTTTCCAAACTGTCAGAGAGAATCTGAGAATCCATTTCCCACTACTCTTCTCATGTAGACAGGAAGCCTTTCATCATTCAAATTCTTTAAAATCATGACTATCTGGGGCTGGCGAGAAGGCTCAGTGGGTAACAGCACTCGACACCAAGTCTAACAACCGGAATCTGTGGGACAGACAATGGCGGAAAGAACTGACTCCCGAAAGTGTCCTCTGACACGTATGTCCTATGTCATGATACACAACTGCCTACATAGATACACATACACACAAATAAATGTATTAATAATTAAAAGCAAGGGCCTAAACAGAGGACTTGGTGGCCAAGAGCAGCGGCTGCTCTCCCAGAGGACCCGGGCTCTAGTCCCTGTATCCACACGGTGACTCACAGCCATGTATAACTCCAATTCCAGAAGAACCAATGCCCTCTCTGGCCTTTAATGGCACTGGGCACAAAGGTGGTACAGATATACATGTAGGCAACACATCCATACACATGAAATACAACACTTTTTTAAAATTTAAAAATAAAATTAGTAAAGATCTCCTGACATAAAAATAAAAACATGACTGCCCCGGGTCCCGCGGTCGGGACAGTCTGGGGACCCCTTACAGGTGTATGACTTCTACCACCTCTGACACTAGTCCAGTAAGAGCAGAGGCTTGCCCTCTGCTAGGGCTGGCACACGGTCAGCACTCTTTGCCAAACAAAGGCGCAGAAGTTCAGGATGAGAGAACGCTGATCAGGCCGAGCAGCCCTCCTGAGAACTACGCTTTACCGCAGGTGCAGCGCGCTCCTCTCTAATCTGCTAACGCTAGGACAGGGCGCGCTCACAGCTCACGGTACGTCAGCCGTGTTAGGAGACAGCATCTTACGGCTCACGGTCATACAGCAGCCCGTCACTAACAGACCCATCAAGAGGGGCACAACTGTGTGTATGTAACACATCCTCAGCCCAAGGACTCTTCTCCATCACTTCAAATACTCTCAGTAAGTTTTCTTTTTCTTTTATGTGCACTGGAGTTTTGCCAGGGGTGTGGGGTTCCCTGGAACTGGAGCTACAGTTGTGAGCTGCCATGTGGGTGCTGGAATTGAACTTGGATCCTGTGGAAGAGCAGTGGACGCTCTTAACCACTGAGCCATCTCTCCAGTCCCTCAGTGCAAGCTTTCAACTGCAGTTTTATGCGTTGCTTGTTTATTAAAAAGGTAATGCAGAAGCAGGGCATAGTGGCGCACTCCTTTAATTTAATCCCAGCACTAGGGAGGCAAAGGCAGTTCAGTCTCTGAGTTAGAAGCCAGCCTGGTCTACACAGTGAGTTCCAGGACAGCCAGGACTACATAGTGAGACCCTGTCTCAAAAAAAAAAAAAAAAAAAAAAGACAGACAAACAGACAGATAGAAAGATAGATAAATAAGGCAACATAAAATGCTCAGTGCAAAAGTTTTAACAATGAATAAAAAGATGTAAGAAAAATCTCCATATTTTGTCAAGTCTTTAATTCCCACCCCCTTGAATCTAAATGACACTGCAGACAAATCACCTATGATTTTTGGTTTGTATGGCTTTTGAAACAAGTGTTATGTAGCCCAGGATGGCTTTGAACTTGATGCGCAATAGAGAATAACCTTCAATTCCTCATCCTCCTGCCTCCAGCCCCCAAGTGCTGGAATTACAGTCACGTGCCACGATGCTTGGTGACCTTCCATACCTGAAATAATGTCACTACTGAGATTCACTGAGGTGACGGGGTGTGCTGGCCCTCACTTGTGATCCAGCAGCAGAAGGCTGATGCAGGAGGATCTTGAGCCCAGGCTAGCCTAAGCTATGTAGTGAGAGAGCCCATCTTAAAATCAGAAAGAACTGTGCTCAGGTAATTACAGTACTGGAAATTTCCTGGCTCTTGAGAACCGCAGGGGCTTTGCCACTTGCCCCAAGCACAGCCCTAAGGAGCTGGTAAGCTGGACCACTGCACAGGACTGAAGGTGTCTGCCCGGCCTTGCATGGAGAGACTGCTGATCAGAGTGGGAAACCGTGGCCTAAAAACAGGACATGATTTTTGCTTCTGTGAGGGTCACCCTCAGCTGTGGAAGGACTTAAATCTCCGGGGAACCTTTCATGGCCTCTCTTCTAGTCTTTCCCGTCTATGTCCTCCAAGGCTCTCCTTCATCTCTGCTTGAATCCCCCCATGTCTGTCTGCCAGGGAGCACCATGTGTTAGCTGTGGTAAACAGTCTAATGTCCCTAGACCCCACGTGCTCACAATCTATTCTAACATGAAGAAGAATGTCCCAGGTGTCTTACTCAGGGGCTTCCATGTCCTGGTCATCGCAAGACTCTTCTTCTCCAAAGACATTCTCAGGGTCTGGTTTCCGAATGAGAAAGAACAGAACTGTCCCCACGAGGCTTATCACCGTCAGGGCAATGAACACCGTCCTCCGGTCGTTCTCTAGGGACAAGAGGAGAGAGTGGACAGCACGGGTGAAGCAATGCCAGTTAGTGCCACGCCCACCGGTTGTCGCCAAGCAGCCCAACACTCCCTCAAGACATTTTTAAGGCGCCAGTAGAAATTTAGGAAGAAATAGCCACGCCCACCTTCATCTTTCAGCTAGTGAAATACTAACAAGCCGAAGAAAACAGCACAAGAACAGAGCCGGCTCACTGAAGGAAGGCACAGACCCAACCACGTAACACTCACAAACCCTCCGGAAAGCAACGTGAGTAAAACCAACCTGAAATCTGAGTCTTCCCTTGCCAGGCAAAATATATGTAGAGATTTCCAAAGAACAAGCTGTGGGGAAGAAAAGGAGAAGATGGTGGGGAATCACTGCAATTCTTGGAGTGGGTTAAGATTTCTTTTTTATTTACTTGAAACAGGGTCTCTGGCTGGCCTGGAACCCAGAGGTCTACCTGCCTCTGCCTCCCAGTGCTGCCATTAAAGACGTGGGCAACTGTGCCAAGTTCAAACTTAGGGCTTGTCAAACATCACCTGCGTTATTTCAAGAGGGGAAAGAGGATAGTGTGTGTGTAGGGGGCGTGATTTTGTAAAGAACCTGCCTGCCCTAGCTCACTTAAAGTGTCAACACCACCTGACTTCTTCTGAGCCATCAGCTGACCCAGACGCAGGAGACAGCAAGCTGACTCTGCACTGCCCTAAAGAACTTGACTCACTCTGACACTCGTGACTTACTGGGACTCTCAGAGAAAACTGGAAACAAACTTATGCTACTTTTAAAATCCTAAAATTTAAGGACTTTGCGAATAAATCTGTGACTGAAATCCCCACCTGCAGCTGTTTGTTTGGCAGACTTTCCTGAGGATGGCCACTCACCAGCTCTCCTGTTTCTGAATCTCTAACTCCCTAAGACTAAACTTCTGCACCAGGCGTGATGGGTGCACCCACAGTCTCAGCTACTTGGGAGGCTTGAAGCAAAATAATCACGCGGAGAGTGGAGCTATTCAAGGTCAGCCTTGTGAGACTCACACACACACACACACTCACACCAATCACCACTATTAACTAAACAGACAAGCTTAAGTCCTATGAAAAACCAAAATTCTCTAAGAACTGTAATCCGCTGAGCTGTTGGTATATGGAGAAGGTATGACGGGGCTACAGTGCACAAGCGGGGCAGCCTGCCGGAGGAGTTGTTCTCTCCTCCTGCCATGTGGGCCTAGGGACGGGACTCAAGTCAGCAGGTCTGGTAGTAAGCGCTTTTATCCACAGCCACCCAGGAGCTCCGGCTGGCCTTGAACTTGCTGCAATCTTCCTGCCTCTACTCCTGAGTGCTCGAATCACAGGTCCATGCCACTATTCCAAGTTCTCCCGGGTATACTCGTGAACCCCAAAGGTCCTAGGCAGAACGACTGGTGCTGCTCTTTCCTTAAGGAAGAGCCACCATGCTGTATCGTTCAGAAGCAGGACCACTGTTCTCCCTTCTGAACTTGGTGGATTTATTAATAGCTATCTGGGCGGTGCAGCTTGGCAGGAAGGACGTGGCTAATGTGCTCCAGATAACCATATTTACATGGGTTAACTTTCAGGCTCTTTTTTCTCATCTGTAGCAAACAGATAATACCTCCTAAGTTTCTGTGAAGATAACATGAAATTAAACAAATAATCCAAAAGGCCTAAAGTACAGAGGATGCAAAATATATGGAGGTTAATATTTTGTTTGCTATTTTTAAATTTTACTAAAATAGTTCCATGCATTTTATGTAATTAACAAAGTATGACTCTGTACCCCACACAAAAAGTGCTAGATGAAGAAATCCAAGGACAGACTGAGCTCCAACAAGATTATTACCTAGACTGTAAGAGTGCCCAGAAAATCCCGCTGTTTCTCCCGATCGTGTGCTCATCGGAATTTATTGTCAGGCAATTTCCTTGTGCTGTCCAAAGCACTAGAATTCAAACCAAGAGTTCATCAGAGGAGTGAAGTCAGGCAGCTTCCCATGCTAGCGTGTGAACAGCACCCATGCCCCAGGAAAGCAGGCAAAGGGCGATGCTCACCAGCAGCCGCGATTCCAATGAAAACAGACGCCGTGTAGAAGGACCATGGGAAAGGCTGGATAAAAACGGCAATGTACATGCTAAAATACAACAGGTCAGTGCATTACAGTCAAACAGTACATTAGCAGAACGCTAAGCATGCCGCCCAGGGGCCAGCTCGGAGGTTCGCAACCTTAACTTCGAACCGGAAAGCACTTTCTTGATTTAGGCTTTTGGAAAGGGATGAACGTGACTGATTTCGGGATTTTTTTTCTCCCCAGAAAAGCAGTCAAGCCCAGACCTCCGCGTATGACAGACAAGTGCTCTGCCACTGAGCCTTCTGCAACCCAGGCCACTGACGGCTGTTTACCATCTCAAGCCTGGAAGTGCACATTTCCCGGGTTTGCCACAGCTTCTGCCATGAGCTTAACGCACGACGAGCTCGAGCTAGGAACATTCCTTGATTTCACATAACAGAAAGGAAACTTACTTCATGGAAGGCTCTTTTCAACCCTAACAGAGACTTTCGCATTCTAATTACTAACAGTAAGACAACAGCTGCTATCCGCCAGATATGGGAGCCTGATAAATACCAAACTCTGAAGGCCGATCTGGGAGGATCACCAGGCCTGGACTACAGAGAGAAACTGTCTCAGACACAGGTCCAATTTAATGCATGCTTCTTATCAGTGAGAAGTCCAGTATTCCTGAGCACGAAGCAGAGCACCGAATCCCCGAAAGGAACACGACCACTCCCCACTGGACTTCCCAGATGGGCTAAAGTGCTCTAAATTAAACAACCACAGGGCAAACGGGACCACTCACCTGTAAAACAGGCCACTGACAAACATAGAGATCTGAGGTCCTATGATGGCGACCACGGACGGAGTGATCAAATTGGAAGCAGAGAAAACGCCGTAGATAATTGCTAAACTGCTCACACAGTGGACAGGAGGGGAAAAGAACAAAAACCTTAAGTAACGTCTCAAAAATTCACTTTTCAAATTTGACTTAGGGCTCATCAGGAAAAGGTCCCTGAGGTCAAGTCTGACGACCTGAGTTTGATCCCAGAACCCATACTGTGGAAGGGGAGAATCAACTCCTGAAGTTGTCCTTTGACCTCCACGCTCACACTGTGGTATGTGGACACTCATATACTCATGCACAAAATAAGATGATGTAAAATTCTACCCAAAACATGTAAACTTTATAAATTTGTAAAACATTCCATAGGCTTTAGTTAGAATATATATTTATATCTTTAAAGATCACATTAAAGTTCTCAGTTATGTAACATAAATACATCCTTACTTTATAAATATATTAGTTATTGATAGATGGATAGAGTTTTTGTTGAGACAGGGTCCTACTATGTAGCACTGGCTGGCTTGAAACTCACTGCATAGCGTAGCCCAGGCTGAGTTTGAACTCATGGCAATCCTGCTGCAGTCTCCAAAGAGCTAGGATTACTGGCATGCAATGGAACACTGGCTGCTTTTTATTTGTTTGTTATGACAGGGTCTCCAAATCTTTTTTTTTTTGGATTTTTGAGACAGGGTTTCTCTGTAGTTTTTGGTGCCTGTCCTGGAATTCACTCTGTAGACCAGGCTATCCTCGAACTCAGAGATCTGCCTGCCTCTGCCTCCCAAGTGCTGGGGTTAAAAACGTGTGTCACTACTGCCCGGCCTTCAGGGTCTTCAAATCTTATCCCTGGCTTGTCTCAAACCTGCAGCAATACTCCTGTCTGTCCCACGACACTGTAGGAATTCTAGGCATGTGCCACCGCATCTGTCTTATATTAAATATTTTATCTCGTTTCTTTCAGCCAGCTTGCCTGTAACACGACTCCAGGTACTGGTTTTCACAGGGAATGCTAACATTAGCACCATGCCAAGGACTTTACGGGCATTTCCTCTTAAAGCCTAGATGCTGTGGAAAGAAGGTATCACTGCACAGCCTCACTTCATGGAAAGCAGAACTACATGGAATAGGTTGCCTCAGTTCAACCATCGTTAGGGGAGATCAGTCTGTTCCACTACGACTTCAGGTAGCCAAATGGCATTCCTTCGCTATAAATGACAAGCGGAGCTAGGGTCTGCTTACATTAGAATTTATTTTACTCACCTCAACATTTTTTTTTTGTTACTCCTCAGCCCTATTACATATACGCAATTTGGTTATATGTATACATTATATAAATATGTAATTGCCTATATGGACAGTTGTCATCTCACTAGATAGCCAGGCCTGGCCTTGAACCCACTATTCTTCTGCTTGAGCCTCCCAAGTACTGGGATTACAGATATACACAGCATGTCTAAGAACCCTACTACATACATCTTTTCTTCTCTACATAGTTCTGGCTGTACTGGAACTTACTATATAGTAGAGGCGGGCCTTGAACTCAGAGATTCCCCCCCACATCTGCCTCCCAAGTGCTGGGATTAAAGGCTACATCACCTTACCCGGCTTACTACACGTATCTTAAACAGAATGGTACTAACGCCATCTTGAGGGTCCTGATTTCATTTATTAGGCAGTGCTTAAATCTGTAAATTCAGAGTAAATATTTCTTTGGTTTCCATAAACTGCTCAGATAATAAATGTATTATTTCATAGGATAGTGGTGGCGCACACCTTTAATCCCAGCATTCGGGAGGCAAAGGCAGGAGGATCTCTGTGAGTTCGAGGTCAGTCTGGTTTACAGAGTGAATTCCAGGACAGGCTCCAAAGCTACACAGAGAAACCCTGTCTTGGAAAAAAAAAATCTTTCATTTGTTCTTTAAAATACACAGAAGACACAGCACTACAAAGTTCTGACAGTACTAACCACTTCCACTTATCCTCAGACACCGTATACCAGAATTAGATAAAAATCTAAAATAAAGAGTTTGGGGCCGAGCAGTAGTGCCACACACCTTTAATCCCAGCACTCAGGAGACAGAGGCCAGCCTTGTCTACAGAGTGAATTCCAGGGCAGCTAGGATTACACAAAGAAATTGTGTCTCGAAGAAAACGCTTTTAAAAAAAAAATTTTGGAAGCCGGGCTGTGATGGTGCAAGCCTTTAATCCCAGCACTGAGGCTGAGGCAGGTGCATCTCTGTGAGTTCAAGGTCAGCCTGGTCTACAGGTTCCAAAGCTACAGAAAAACCCTGTTTCGAAAAACCAAAAAGAAAAAAAAAGAAAAAAAAGTTTTGGAACTGGGGGACAGGGTAATAGCAAACCTATAAGCACAGAGAAATTACAAAAAGCAGCCAGAGCCGGGCGGTGGTGGCGCACGCCTTTAATCCCAGCACTCGGGAGGCAGAGGCAGGCGGATCTCTGTGAGTTCGAGGCCAGCCTGGTCTACAAGAGCTAGTTCCAGGACAGGAACCAAAAGCTACGGAGAAACCCTGTCTCGAAAAATCAAAAAAAAAAAAAAAAAAAAAAAAAAAAAAGCAGCCAGCCAGACACAGACATAGCAATGTCTGCCTGCAATTCCAGTACTTAGGAGGCAGCGTGTGAGTAGGCTCTAGGCCAGCTACAGGGTAAGACCTTATTTCTCTTTCTAAAGTTTATAAATCAATCAAATGTAAAGAGTGTGTGTGTATAGCTCAATTTCACAATTCTGCAGTGTATATATATGAGAGATAAAGAAGTACAATTCTTGTCAAATCAAAGTTTTGTTTTTGCTGGGTGGTGGTGCACACCTTTGATCCCAGCACTCGGGAGGCAGAGGCAGGGGGATCTTGATGAGTTTGAGGCCAGCCTGGTCTACAGAGTGAGTTCCAGGACGGTCCAGGCAACCCAGAGAAACACTATCTCAAAAAGCCCCCCCCCCCCGGCAAAAAAATAAAGTTTTGTTTTGTTTTAAAGAGAACCCTGAGCTAAATGAGGTGGTTCATTTGGTTAATCCTAGTACTCAGGAAGCAGAAGAGGATCTCTGTAACTTTAAGAGCAGTCATTTTGAGTCCAACCTGGTCTACAGAACAAGTTCAAGGCCAGTCAGGGCTACATACAAAATCTTTGCCTCAAAAAAATAAAACTGATAGATTAATATATAAATAAATAAGGCCAGCCAGAGTTACATAGTGAGAATGTCTCTCTGAAAATGCAAAGAAAAAGAAGCATGCCCTACTTATACACAAGACGGAAAGAGCCAGCAGGACAAACTTAGAACATTCTTAGAGAACAGACAGACAATGCTGAGGCTGCCAGCCTCGCTCGGCCTCTGACCCAGCAAACCACAAGGCACCTGCCAGTGTCCAATTTGTCTAGTATCTCAGCAGTGGGTAAAGCCAGGGTCACAGAGGCTCAGTGTCACCTTCCTACCTACATGGGGTGAGAGCCAGAGAGGCTCTCCTAGCCCTGAGCTAAAAGATGCTGAATTCTTGGATGTAGGTTATTGGGGAAGGGGACACACTGAAGCCGGGCCGGGTGCTACAGGCTTCTAATCGCATCATTAGCAAGAGGATCAGAAGTTCAAGGTTATCCTGTGTTACTCTGTGAGCACAAGGCCAGGCAGCAGCTAAGGCTACCCGAGAAGAGGAAGAGAATTGCATGCCCATCTCCAGCTACAAACCCAGAGGACTACAGACGTGTGAGGTTTTCATTCTTTCTGCCTCGACAGCATAAACATCCAAACGCTTAAGAAGAAACTGCAAGCTGAGGTCAGGTGGTAGTGTCACAAGCCTTTAACCCCAGCTCTTAGGAGGCTGATCTCCTGAGTTCGGGGCCAGCCTGGTTGGTTTACAGGGTAAGTTTCAGGACAGCCAGGGCTAGAGAGAAACCCTGTCTTGAAAAACCAACAACCAAAAAAAAAAAGAGTTCCACATTAAGGACCCAATGTTTCAACAACTACCGTACTGTTTAGGATCAGAATGACTGACAGACTTGCATGCTTATTGAACAGGGAGCACTACGCTGTCTTCATTTCCATCATCTTAGCAAAGAAACTGGACTCATTAAAAAAAAAATCTACCATCACATTTTGGGGATCAAGGCATGACCACCATCCCTGGTCTATCATTTTTCACTGCCACATTTTAAATTTTATGTGTAAGGGTGTATTCCTGTGTGGAAGTCACGTGACAACCTCCAAGCTTTGGTTCTCTCCTTCCACCAAGTAGATTCTGGGGATTTATTTGAACAGCCTTGGAGGCAAGGGTGGCCCTATCGGGCTGGCCCTCAGGTCAGAAAAGAGCCAGATTTGACACAATCACTGCTTCTCAGAGATTTTAATAAAATCAGATGTTAGAGCACGTCATTGCTGGCTTTCCTGAAGAGATGGACGAAACTACGACATGCACAGTCAAATCATGCACACGGTACAATACCTGGTATATCCACTGCCATGAAAATCTGTGCTATTTAAGCTCCTGATGACAGTTTGCTGTGTGGAAGATAAAATAATCAACGAAGACGCCTTGCCACCTCCCTCCCCCTTGCAAAGCCTAACTTCTCGGAACATGTTAGGATCTCCAGTGCTCTCTCCCCGACGGGGAAACGGCAACCAGATAGATGTACCTGCACTGGGTTTTGGTGCCCCAACCACCCAAGCACTAAACTCAGCGTTTAACCCGGACAAGAATTAAAGTAATTATGGCCAGTATTCAAACTCCAAGCCGCGTCTGAGTCATAAACGCCAGTGTTTAACATGAAACCAAACCAAATCATAGAGAACAAGGAAGGGTAGGTTGAAAAACAGGAGGAGCAATCTTGGCGTGGTAGCGGACATCAACGTTTATTGTCACCAAACGGAGGGCATTGTGATATAGGCATTTCAAAGGAGAGAGGACAAGTTCCAACTCACCGCTACATTTCCACAAGTTTGAAAGGCGGTGAACATAAACATAAAGGCAACTCCTAAAATAACGATGTTGAAAAGCTTTTTAGATTCCGGGGACATTTTGGCTCCGCTTGGTCGGGGATCAGCAGCGACCCAGGGCAGTCAGTCACCTCTCTTCCTCCAGCCGAACCCCCTGACAGTCCTGAGGAAAGAAACGAAATGAGAGAGCCAGGCAAGCCAGCCTGCCGATTTCCAGTCCTCGGGAGGGAATCGCGGGCTTAGAGGAAGCTCTCCCCACCCGCACGGTCAGGACACTCCAGGGACGTGACCGAGTGGAGAGGAGACCCGGGGCCCGCAACGCTGCAACTCCTAGTTCCGACGAGGGGGGGGATCAGGGGCAAGGACGGGCAGCGCAAGTCGCTGGGGCCCGCCCTCCCGGCTTGACTCACAGAAGATCACGAGACCGGTCAGCTGACCGCAGGGTAGGCGCAGCGCCCGCCGGGAAATGTAGTCCCTGGTGGAGGGGAATACGCCTGCGCATGGCGGCGGGAGCGTGTCTCGGCCCGTGTGTGGGGGGGGGGGGGGAGTGGGCCCGAGTGCCCCGAGCTAAAGACAGGAACGGCGGGAAGTAGGGGAAATCTGAGGTGGCCGGGGACACAGAGGCAAATGGGAACAGGAGCTCCCGTGACCGAGGAGGGGCGGAGGGCTGGGCAGAAAGGCGCGTGGAGCTCGGGCATTGGCGTGGGGAGGAAGGCGGGGTCCGCCGGGTTGCGCTTCCTCTTCCTCCCTGGGGGAGGGGGGGGAACGGGACTCAGTGCTTCCCCCTCCCCCCGGGGCCTCGCCGGCGGAAAGAGCATTTGGCGGGCTTTCTAACTGCCTGCGCGGGCCGCTCCCCCTCCCGGCCGCAGTGACTGCGCGCTTTCTGCCCGCCCGCCGCGCTCTGCGCAAGCGCGCGCGGTCGGGGGCGGGGCGCGCGGCCGCGACGTTACGGTACGGGACGGGACGAGCCAATCAGGAGATTCATTTCCGGGTGGCGCGGGCGCCATTTTGTGAGGGCGGCTATAAAGGCGGCCCGGCGCCCGCCCGCCCGTTCAGTTGCTGCTGGGAGCGTATCGGGTGTGTCTGCTCTGCGCCGGCCTCGCAGCTAACCCACGCGGACTCACTGCCGAGAGAGGCGCGGCCTGCCGCCGCCGCCACGGCCAGAGGAGGCCGCGGATCCTGCTGAGGGCGAGGGCCCGCTCGCCGCTTCGCAGCCATGAGCTACGGCCGCCCGCCTCCCGATGTGGAGGGCATGACCTCCCTCAAGGTGGACAACCTGACTTACCGCACCTCGCCCGACACGCTGAGGCGCGTCTTCGAGAAGTACGGCCGCGTCGGCGACGTGTACATCCCGCGGGACCGCTACACCAAGGAGTCGCGCGGTTTCGCCTTCGTCCGCTTCCACGACAAGCGCGACGCCGAAGACGCCATGGATGCTATGGATGGGGCGGTGCTGGACGGCCGCGAGCTGCGGGTGCAGATGGCGCGCTACGGCCGCCCGCCCGACTCGCACCACAGCCGCCGGGGCCCGCCACCGCGGAGGTATGGCGGCGGCGGCTACGGACGGCGGAGCCGCAGGTGAGCGGGGCGAGGGACTGGCCGGGGGCGGGACGGGAGGCCGGCGGGCGCACAAAGGTGCGCGGAGCACGTGGAGCGGGCCCCTCCCTCGCGGCCTGGGCGGCGGCGGGCCCTGCCGCACCGTGCGAGACTCCGCCTCGCGGCGAGGGAAATGGCGTCTGGCAGCCAGATAATGGCGGCGGGGCGGGTGGAGCGGGCGGGGCTGGGCCGGCGGCCTGCAGCTCGCTCACGCTGTCGCTCGCGTCCCGCCCGCAGCCCGAGGCGCCGTCGCCGCAGCCGGTCTCGAAGCCGGAGCCGTTCCAGGTCCCGGAGCCGCTCTCGCTACAGCCGCTCCAAGTCCCGGTCCCGCACTCGGTCCCGCTCGCGCTCCACCTCCAAGTCCAGATCTGCGCGAAGATCCAAGTCCAAGTCGTCCTCGGTCTCCAGATCCCGCTCGCGGTCCAGGTCCAGGTCGAGATCCAGAAGTCCTCCGCCCGTGTCCAAGAGGGAGTCCAAGTCTAGGTCGCGTTCCAAGAGCCCCCCCAAGTCTCCAGAGGAAGAAGGAGCAGTGTCCTCCTAAGAAAACGGTAATGTCTGCAGGAATCCGAGCCGCAGCCTGAGTCCCGTGGGGTTGAAGTAGGTTTTTTGAGCCATGCTAGCGCGAGTGACTCCTGATGTGACAAGAGTACTGTCTGAGGTTACTCGGCTTTGGGAGTAATGCTGAAGAGGGGTCTTCAGAGAGGATTGTGTAGAGCTTAAGTAATAATGGCTGTTTCATACTGTTTGAGACCTATTAATGAAAATGACTATTTCTTGCTGTTTTTATCCAACGTCTGCATTTTCCCCCTTTAAAGCTGCGGTCTCCTGTTTGATAAAAGAATATTGGCCAGTATTGCAGATTTTAACTGATTTGGCTGATCCTCCAGGGACCAGTTTCTGTGGGCGTGTATTGGAGCAGGTTTGTCTTTACACGTTAAAGATGCACTATCCTCATAGAGCAAAACAATCAGTTCAACTGTTGTTGTACTGACTGGGACTTCTTACTCTAATGGATGTGGCAAATGAATTGCGATTAAGAAGCAGTGAACTTTTGGAATCCCAAAAGAAAGTTACAGGTATTGCACTGGGTGGGGAAAGGATAGTGTGTCTTTAACTCTCAAATTGTTTGGTCCTATTATTTTTTTAAAGGAAAGGGCCCTAAGCTGATAAGAACATCCTCAACTGCCAAACGTTTCATTTTCAAACATCTTAAAGGGTAGACTAATTTCTGATAGCAAGTTTTATTTGGATACAGCCCCACCCCGCCCTCCCGCTTTTTGTTTTTTTTTTTTCTTCCTCCCCTTGCCATTTTTTTGTCTTGGTTATCTGACCAAGAATCACATTCAGACTTGTGCTGGTGGTAGCCTTTGGGAGGATTCTCATTTGGGCCTTTAATAAACTGACAGTGGCCAGGTGGAACCTCGTGTAACCTCCTTGTTTCACCAGAGCCTTTCTTAGTAAGTACGTGTCTGAGACTGAAACCATGTGCCCTGGGCACCTGTGTGTGGTAGTAGACGGTAAGCTGAACCTCTCTCTTTTCAAACCTAGATGAATCGGCAAGCAGCTTAACAGAGGACTTTGGGGAAAGGACCACAAACTCAGTCCGTCGGTCAGTGGAAGAGTCCTTGGAACAAGCAACTGGCTATTGAAAAGGTTATTTTGTAACATTTGTCTAACTTTTTACTTGTTTTAATCTGCCTCAGGTGGCAAACATCATTTTATGTGCCATTGTGTTGCTGTTATTCAAATTTCTTGTAATTTAGTGAGGTGAGCGACTTCAGATTTCATTATTGGATTGGATATTTGAGGTAAAATTTCATTTTTGTTTATAGTGCTGACTTTTTTTGTTTGAAATTAAACAGATTGGTAACCTAATTTGTGGCCTCCTGACTTAATAAGGAAACGTTTGCAGCCATTACACACAGCCTAAAGCTGTCAGCAGATTGACTCAGCATTGCCTTCACTCCTTAGAATTAAAACAGTTGGTGTCATTGTTTATATATGTTATTTACCTTCAGGTCTAAATGATAATCTGAACCCAAATTTGTATAAAGACTTTTCAGGTGAAAAGACTTATTTTTTTTGAAGGATTGTTTACCAAATACAATTCTAATCTCTTCTCTTATGTATTTTTGTGCACTAGGCGCAGTTGTGTAGCAGTTGAGTAATGCTGGTTAGCTGTTAAGGTGGCGTGTTGCAGTGCAGAGTGCTTGGCTGTTTCCTGTTTTCTCCTGGTTGCTCCTGTGTAAAGATGCCTTGTCGTGCAGAAACAAATGGCTGTCCAGTTTATTAAAATGCCTGACAACTGCACTTCCAGTCACCCGGGCCTTGCATATAAATAATGGAGCATACAGTGAGCACATCTAGCTGATGATAAATACACCCCCTCCCTCAAAAAAATGGTAAATCTGATCCTCGTGTATGAACTTAATCAGAAAATGTTAAGGAAGCAAATGGTTTGTAACTTTGTAAGTACTTAAAAACATGGTGTATCTTTTGCTTATGAATATTCTGTACTATAACCATTGTTTCTGTAGTTTGATTAAAGTGTTTTCTGGTGTTAGCTTTTTTGAGAATATGTCTTGGTCTTTTTTCCTCGGTTTAATCTAAAAACCTATGCAACGCATTACTTTGTTAATGGCCTTACAGTGTAAAGGTACAATGTTGAGGGAATACCATTTCTCTCACGAGAATGCTAGATGAACCTAAACCTAACACTTTGAGTAGCATCTTGAGGTCTTAAAATGGTGTCTCAACCCAGAGTGTGTCCTGGTTAATGATTGAGAGTAATCCAAGTCCTTTTCAAGTGTTTTAATTTGTTAAAAAGTTGTTGCCCATGAGTGTATGTTGTACATGACATCTCAGGCAGATGGCTCATCTTAATGCCAGGTGTATTGAGTCTTGACACTGTCCCAAACAGCTAGAGGTACAACTCAGAAGCTGTTCTTCCCTAAGGAGACGACCAGCATTTCAACAGTATGCCTTCCTGGGAGGGCAGACTCGGCTAGATCTTCCTTGTCTGCATCAAAAGACTCCAGAGGAACATGGACACATTTCATATCCCACTTGTAGAGCAAGTCTTCAAGTGACCAGTCAGCACTGAAAGGAAATAAATTTTTTTAATGATTCATGCTTTTTCTGTTTAATGCATTTTGATTATCATTAAGAAAATTAGCAAATTGAAGCTGTCCATACTCACCTCCTGACCTGATAGGTAGACCAAAATTGAGCTTTGGGGTTCCTCTGCATCAGAAAGTACACTGTGGCTAAAATGCTTTCAAAATCTGGGGTGGGGGGGGAACAGCAGTGAGTTTTATGCAACATGTGCGTGCTAGGTCTTTTTTTGCAGATTAAGCTTACCTTCTGGTTCAAAGAACACATCAGATGCAAGGATGATGTCTTGTGGTGGTAAAGACAACAGGTCTTTGGTTATGTGGCCCCATGTTAGCCCTACAACCTGAATATATGACAGGTCATTGAGTTGACAGCTTTGTCGGCAGATCTCCAGACAGTGGGGCAGCTCTGAGCTGTCAGATAGTATGACCTCAGCACCACACTTAGCAGCCAGAATCCCTGGAAGACTCACTCCAGCTCCAATCTAAATAATGGAAATAAAATTTGGGACTCAAAATGAGACAGTCTATGCTCCCTGGCTGGCTTTGAACTCTGGCCTGCCTGCTCCCAGGGCTGGGACTAAAGGCTGGTAACACTACCTCTGGCAACAAGCAGCACTCTGAACTTAAAGGTTGATTTGCTGAAAAGTGGCACATACACCTGCTTAAATCAAAGGATGTTGCTTCCATATTGCAAAAATAATTTAATTGCAATACAGGTTTGTCCTATCTTGGAAATGGGATCTGGAACAATGGACAGATGTGGATTGAATAGCCAGTTGTGCCGCTAACTGCTATTGCTTTTATAGCTAAGTATCCAGATCTTTATTTTTGAGAAAGGATTTCTCTGTGTATCTCGGCTTTCCAAGTGCTGGGATTAAAGGTGTGTGCCACACTGCCAAAGAATGTACAGTGTTCTGCCTACATGTCAGAGGACACCAGATCACTTAGATGGTTATGAGCCACCATGTGGTTGCTGGGAATTGAACCTAGGACCTCTTAATTGAAGACAATGCTCTTTAATGGCTGAGCCACCTCTCCAACTCAATACTTGTTTTTAATTGGAAATGTGAAGATTTTACTAATTTGGAATTTCAAAGCCAGCCAAACTACCTGATATAAAAATACATAATAAATACTAATAGCTCACATGTGGAAACTTACTGGGTCCTGTTACCTCTAAGACAGCTTTGCCTGGCAGAGATCTTCTGTGAAACCACAAGTATTGGGCCAGGACTACAGCACAGGGCCAAATATACATCCCATATTGGACATGCAGGACCTATAAAGAAAATTTCCATATGAATACTTTATGCACTGTCAGTCCTGACACACACATGATGGTCGTGTACTAGTTCTGAAACTATTCTAGGCTGGCCTCAATCCTGAGTAACCAAGGGCTTTGTGGACGATACTGCCAGCTCCTCAAGCGTTTTATGTGCATGAGTGTTTTGCATACATGTATGTATATGCACCATTTGCATGCCTAGTGCCTCTAAAACCAGAAGAGGGTGTTGGAGCCCCTGGAACTAGAGTTAAACATGGCTAAGCTTCCATGTGGGTGCTGGGAACTAAAACTAGGTCCTCTGTAAGAGTAGCAAGTAGTACTCTACCCAAGTCATCTGTTCAGCCCCTCCACAAGCATTTAAACAGACTTCAGGGACAGTTAAGGGCTAGCGTATACACTGTACATAACTATATACTGGACAATGATGGGCAAAGAATAGGTAATTTTGGTTGGTAATAATGCTACTACAGCCGGGTGGTGGTAGTGCACACCTTTAATCCTAGCACAGGCAGGTGGATCTCTGAGTTCTAGGCCAGCTGGTCTACAGAGCAAGTTCCAAGAGAGGCTCCATAGCTACTGAGAAATCCTGTCTGAAAAACCAGTAAGTATTAAATGAATGAATGAATAAATGCTACAATAATAAAGCAAGGTGAAGTAAGGGTGTAACACATGAAGACAAGGGTTGCCCAGAAGAGTGCCTCTGGTCTGATCTAGGCACAACACTCTGAGGGGGAGGTTGGAGGTTTACTGACCTGTGCATCTCCTGGCCACAGAAATTTACAAATTCTAAGTACAAGAAGATGATGTTGGACAAGCCCTACTTCATCTCTATTTTCTGGGAGATTTTCAAGTCAAGGATGACTTGGACGCTAATGACAAGCCCTGCAGTCTTAGGAAGATGTCTCACAAAAGGAGGTATATGTGGAGCTAAAGACGGAAAGATAGTCTTTGGAAAGAACTAGAATCATTCAGGATGTGGTTCCCAGCTATAATTCTATCACACAGGAGGAAGAAGGAACATTATTATAAGTTCAAGGCCAGCCTTATCTACATAGCAAACCAAAAGCCATCAGGTCATCAGTCTAGACTTCTAGACTCTGTCTGGAAAAAAAAATCAAAACTCCTAAAGCAATCAAAAAAACTAGAATCTGGGGAACATTTATCAAAAAGGGAAAGGGCCTCTGAATTGAGCCTCCCCCCCCACCATCCCCAAACACCCCACCCCAGGCTCAAACTCCAGATCCAGCTATATGATTTTACATGACCTACTTGTCAGGGCTTCTGTCTCAACTGCACATATGATCTCCATAGGGTAATAATTTTCAATGCCACACACAAAACACTGCATATTAGCAACAGAAATCAAAGCTGGCCTGTCTTCTGGAGACGGGTGCCCCTGCTAGGGTGACAGAGAATGACAAAAACTATCAAAGCTGTACAGGAATCAGAGGTCCATTCAGGAACAGTGCATGGATGGTTGTGATGGGACAGTGTTCACTCAAGCACTAGACAGGAAGGCCAAAATATCAAGACCCAATTTCAAAATAACAATAATAAATAGGGGTTGGGAAGACTGCTTTTCCAGAAAACCAGGGTTCAGTTCCCAGCACCCACATGGTAGCTCACAACTGTCTGCAACTCCAAGGTCAGACACCAATGCACATAAAAAATAAAATACATATGTATATGCACATACATATATACATAAATGAAGTTACAGGGTTAAAAAATAGGGGTAGCTAGATGATTCAGCAGTTCGGAATGCGAATCTCCTGCTCTTCATTTTCTGAGACATAATTGGTATGTAGCCCTGGATGTCCTGGAATTGGCTATGCAGACTACACTGGCCTCAAACTCCCAGTGATTCTCTTGCCTCTGCCTCTTGAATGCTGGGATTAAAGAAGGGATTAAGGGCATGGGCTACTATGCCCAGCAAAAGCTAAATCTTTTTTTTAAAAAATGAAGCAGGGTATGGTGGCGCATGGCTTTAATCCACTTGAAAGGCATGAGTGGGCAGGTCGCTGGTAGTTCCAGGCCAGCCAGAGGTGCATAGTGAGCTACAAAAAAATATCAGCGCCGAAGAGAAGTGTAAGACCCTGACTCAGTCACTAGGAGGCCACAGGAATCAAGTTCTGTCTTGGTTTGCCTTTTATGCTGTCTTTCTAACACTGAACTACTGAGGCAGGACAGACTGAGAAAATCAAGAAGACATGGGAAAGTAAAGATCTCATCTCAGAGTCTGGCTGAAGTCTCTCATTGGGTAAGGGTCAAATATCAGTACAACTAACAAAATTCACTGTGAAGTTTCAGAGGAACAATGTTCTTTATAGAGATATTTCAAACCCAAATGTTAAAACAGCAAACAAGAACCAGGAGGGTGTGGTGGTGGCACACACCTTTAATCCTAGCACCTCAGGAATTAGAGGCAGGCAGATCTCTGTGAGTTCAATACCAGCCTGGTCAGTTCCAGGACAGCCACAGCCAGAATGAGACTACCTTTAAAAAAATTAAAATAGAGGAACTCCTTGGAGTGAAAATAAATCTGTCATGTTTTTTTGTTTTGTTTTTTGTTTTTCAAGACAGGTTTTCGCTATAGCTTTTGCAGCATGTCCTGGAACTCGCTCTGTAGACCAGGCTAGCCCTGAACTCATAGAGATCCACCTGCTTCTGCCTCCCGAGTGCGGGGATTAAAGGTGTGCGCTACTGCCCAGCTAAGTCTGTCTTTTGAATATAACCTCACAGCTTTTCCAGTTGTAATCAGCAACCTTCTGAGAGTTTCACGAACAAGGTTATAAATATGTCAACACCCTTGGACCTAGTATAATTAAAGATTCCTTTAACTCTTGTAGCACATGGTTTTGACATCACTGTAATCCTTCCTGTCCAATGCACCTCACTAATTTCACCCTGGGACTTTTTTTAAAAAAAGGTTTGTTTATTTATTTATGTATGAGTGCTCCATCTGCATGTACACCTTTATGCCAGAAGAGGGGCATCAAATCCTACAAGGGATCGTTGGGAGCCACCATGTGATTGCTGGGAACTGAACTCTGGACCTCTGTCTCTCCAGCCCCCATCCTGTGATCTTATTTACTAAAAGAAAAGTTTCTTAGAAATCCCTTAAATTTACCTTCAGAAGCTACAAAATCGTGCAAATGGCTG